TCTTCGACCGTCCGCTGCCCCCGTGTGACAGCACCTGATACGAATGCGTCTTCCTCTACTGCCCACCACGTGCTGACTGCACCATTGCCATCGGGATCGGATNGCTTTCTGGGTCCTCCCCGTCGGAGAAGAGGACCCGTCCGCCTGGTCCACCCCCGCCTGTGCCTGGTGCCCGCTCTTTGCCCCTTCGGCCTGCACCGGCTCCGCCGTTTGATGACAAGTGCGAGTACGCTTCGGATGACGTCCTTCTTTTCTTGAAACCTCCGTCTGTGTTCTCGCAATGGACTCCTTCGGCTTTTGACGTACTGGGGGTACGTTGTTCATGTGGTGAGCAATTCATGATGTCGGGAAAAGCGAAGTTGTTTGGAGATATGACGTCGTATGACAAAATTTTGGCTGCAACAGATCTTAAGACACACAGTTTTGGGATCGAAATGTGCGTCCTTTCGACTATGCTAAATGGGAGCGTCGTTGTGAAGAGATCGTGCTTACGGGGTTGTACGCCAAATTTGCTCAAAACCATGACATGAAACATCATCTACTGGAGACGGGTACCCGCCTCCTTGCAGAAGCCAGCCCCTTCGATCGTGTTTGGGGTATCGGCATGTCTGCATGCTTTCCAGATGCTAGCGTTTCATCCAAGTGGGCAGCTAGCGGTAAAAACTTGTTGGGAAAAGCATTGATGGAAGTTCGACGCCTTTTGTGTGATCATCCCCTCTCTGGCGAAGATTTCCCCGCTTCCAAAGCTCCCACGCCCCCCATTTCGCAGCCTCCTCTCCCTGGACATTGACGCATTCATGAAGTTGCTACTGCTACAGGTTCTTCGCTACGGAAGGACCCGGGCGAAGACCCAGCTTGTCTACGTTTGGACGCTCCGGGGGACCATGCTCCTGGCGTTCATCTGGTGGCATCGACCTCCGCTTGTGCAGACCAGCCTCCTCTTCTCGAATATGGACCCGACTTGGTCGGCAGCACGCTCCTGTTGGACTCGGACTCATAAACCACCCGGGTCCTGCTGCATGGAGGACCTACAGCCACTTCTCAACTCGCGCGAGTGGCGCTTCTGGACTCTGGGTCTCCTGCATCCTTCGTTTCCGACTCTGTGGTCACCGCAATGATAGCTGCCGGAGCCCTGACAGCTGGCAGCGTTCGTGTTTCGCCCTCTCGTCGTTTGGGTGGGTTTGGTGGTGGACCCGCCCTTGTGACCACCCNGTTGTTCCAGACGCCGTCATGGGGCACGCCGTGCTTCTGGGTCGTGATAGCTGGATGCACTTCAACTCTCGCGTGTTCACCACACCCCCCACCCTGGACCGGACGGCCGGGTTATGGGCGAGCTCACGCTCTCTCCGCGTTTTACAGCTGGCGCTTGCGTTTACGCTACACACGACGACGCTCCTGCCTCCTCGTTTCACCTTAAATATGCAGGAAGGTCGGGAATGTCTTTGGGGCCGGAGCCTGCACTCGTTGAGGTGGACCTCTTTCGTTCTTCTGGCATGCCTGCGATGATTGCAGAGTATCTGGTATCGTTCAAACCCGAAGTGGGTGCGCTTTCTTCCCCAGATGCGTTCGTTTCAAGTGGTCTCCAGCGTATTCCCCTTGCAGGTTATGCCGAGCTCGAGCCGGGAGACGTAATTGGAGTGTCTGCCGCGCCGCTACTACGAGTACCGGTGGAAACCCTGAAGGCGGCACCATCTTCGATTCCTACCGGCCCCACAACATCTACATCACCACCTCGGGTCAACGCCGTTGGCCCCAAGTCCGGGACTCACCGCTCTCCGGACCCAGCCTCCGCCCCGCCTCTTCCGAAGCCGCCTCCACAAGAACTACTAGACCGCTTCTCCGAGGCACAGCGCTCCAGCTTCATGCGCTTGTGGGCTAGGCTGCCCGCACATATGCACGACATCGCTTTCGATCTACACAATCCGGGATGGACACCGGAGGCTATTGATCGTTTGGCCGACGCCCTTGTGGAGTATTCTGACGTGTTCTCTACTTCGAAAACCGATTTTGGTTCCTGCACCATAATGCCGTTCACGCTTTCTGTCCCAGCAGGGACGAAGCCCGTTGCATCACGCCCGTATCGTATCAACCCGTTGATGCAAAAGAAAGTGGATGCCGTTTTGGACCAGTATTTGGCGGCAGGGCTCATTCAACATTCCACATCTCCGTGGGCTTCTCCTTTAGTTGTCATCCCCAAGAAGGACGGATCTGTTCGCATCACCGTCAACTACAAACGTCTCAACGCTCTGGTGGATTTGGATGGACAACCTCTCCCTCGAGTGGACGGTATCTTGGATTCTCTGTACACCGGGAAAGTGTTCTCCATCTTCGACCTCAACTCGGCTTTCCACCAGATCGTTTGTGATGAAGACGCTGTCCCGCTCACCGCCTTTTGCACTCCCACGCAGTTGTTCGAATGGCTTCGGATGCCGCAGGGCGCCAACGCAAGTCCGTCTTGGTTCGTCAAGGTCATCAACAGAGTGGTGCACGGTCTGGAGCGTGTGCTTGCTCATGTGGACGATGTCATCTGTTTCGATGAGGAACCTCTGGGACACGTTGCTAAACTTGATCGAGTTCTTCAAACGACTGCGACGGTACAACCTCAAACTGTCTCCAGGGAAGGCTCGCGTCGGCGCCACGCACGCCAACTTTCTCGGTCACACCATCTCTCCGGCAGGTGTTAGCCCTGATGGCGTCAAGGTTAGGGCGCTCACGCACATGCCGCCGCCGACGAATGTTAAGCAGCTTCGGAGCCTTCTCGGTGGACTCAGTTACTACCGGAAATTCCTCAAGAATCTCGCCACCAAGGTGCGGCCTCTCAACTCTCTTCTCAAACAAGGCGTCCCCTTCAAGTACACCCCGGGCATGGTCAAGGTTGTCAAAACGTTGTTAAGCGAACTCGCTCGCCCCCCGATTTTGGTCTTCCCGGATTGGGCAGCAATCGAGGACAACAGCCGTCCTCTTCGTTTGTGTTCCGACGCGTGTATCGACGGTTTTGGCGCCTCCTTGGAACAAGAACAGCTCGATGGCTCGGTGAGACCCATCGTGTACATCAGCCGCGCTACTCTTCCTGCGGAGCGTAACTGGACCGTTTTGGATCTGGAGGCTGGTGGCATTGTTTGGGCCATCAAACGCCTTCGCGGTTATCTGTGGTCGACCAAGTTCATCATCTATTCGGACCACAAAGCATTGGAGAGCATTGGCAAGGTTGGGGAACACAACGCTAGGGTGCAACGATGGCTCGAATTCCTGTCCAACTTCACCTACACCCTGAAATATCGGAAAGGTTCGGCAAACGGCAACGCGGATTTTCTTTCGCGGTTGCCTTTACCAGCACAAGACACGGACAAAACCGGCCCCGACTGCATTGATGGTGTCGATCAAGCGGGTGTTTTCCTCATTTGGGCTTGCGGGCGCAACTATCACTCGTCGTCTACACCGGAGGTCGGTTTGGGTGGGCTCCGCCCTCCTTGCACGGCGGGAGTCTTTTCGCCCCCAGCGTTGCAGCCCTCCGATTTTGGGGATTTTCGCCGACATCACCCGCGTCGGGTGGATGCTCTGACGGACTCAACGATTGCCTGCGAAAATTCTCAGCGGTCCCCGGGGGTCTTCATCGTCTCGCCTGTTCTCGCATCTTCAGGGCCTGCTTCCTCATTGACTTCGGATGAGTCCCGCGTGATGTCTCCTGTCGCGTCTTTGGCGACTAGATATGTGCACGTTTTGTCTTCGCTTCCGGAGCAGGGACCGCTCATTTCTTCACGGACTCGGGCCAAAACTACCGCAGTTTCCGGAGGCACCGTCACCGGTCCCGCTTATTTCGGACGCCAGCCGCGGGCTACCATCGTCCCTCGGACATCGTCGCCTGCCCGTCGCTCTAGCAGGTCCCGCTCGACAAACAAGACCACCCGGACCGCCGCGCGTCTGCTGCCGCCATCCCCAACGCCGGCATCAGCGTTTTCGTCGACTGCTCTTGCGCCACCGGTGTCTTCGCCGTTAGCGGCGCGCCCTGCATCCCCGACTTCGCCTTCTCTACAGGTTTCGCCCGGAACTTCGCCACTCACAATGTCCCCTTCGCGGACATCACCCCGGACTGCGGCTGCCCCAGTCGCTGAGGCTTCGCCTTCTTCCGCCTCTTCCGTTGGATCGCCTGATTTTTTTTCGGAATCTCCTGATTTGGACACCTCCCACTTGCGGGCTTGTGTTCAGAGTTTCAGCACTGTGGACTGGGCTAGGGAACAGCAGCGGGAGAGCGAGTGTGTGGTGGCTATGCGTTTTTTGTCTTGCGGTTCTCCCTCCCCACCCCCTCCGGGCTTGCTCACTCTCTGTGCTCCGCTTCGCTCCCCTCGGCTAGATGATGTGCTTGTGTTGGCGGCGAAAACCAGACTGCACACGACCGATGACAACATCACCCTCCTCGTACATAAATCGGCGACGTCGCCGGTTGGGCGCTCTGGCGGCAGGACCACTCGTCTGCCGGATACTGGCGTGCCCCGTGTCTACGTGCCAATGCTGATGCGTCCGTGGGTCCTTCATGCATGCCATACCACCGCGTCATTCCATCTCGGCGTCCATCGTACACAGCGTCTGCTCGAGCGCTTCTACTGGTGGATTGGTTTGGATCGTTCCGTGCGCTGGTGGCTTCGGGCGTGTTTGGTGTGTCAAGCTCGCAAGACTTCACGTCAGACTGCTCGGTGGCCCGTCATCGCTATGCCATAGCCGCAGGGGCCTGGTACGGTCGCCGGCGTCGACTTCTTCAGACCTCTGCCAGTGACTGCCAAGGGCAACTCCTACTTTTTGTTGTTCACAGACCGTTTCAGTCGGAGAGCCGACATGTCCGCAGTTACAGCGGCGGAATTTACGGCGAGAGGGACGGCTCACATCTTCGTCAACCAATACATGACCAAGTGGGGATGTCCGACTACGTTATTGTCGGACAACGGACTGCATTTCTGCTCGAAGCTCTCCATGGCGATCTACGAGGTGATGAAGATCAAGAAGGTCACCACCAGCTCCTACCACCCACAGACCAACGGCGGCACTGAACGCGTCAACCACACGATGGCCCAGATGCTTGCGGTGGTCGTCAACGAACAGCAAAACGATTGGGACATACATCTCCCGCACGTTGAGTCTGCCTACAACAATTCCGTGAACCAGTCTACTGGATTAGCGCCAAACGAGATCCACATCGGACGCATCCCGCGACTCCCGCTTTCGGTCTTCGATCGTCCCACGATAGGTGGTCATCAAAGCTTGGCCCGCGATCAACTCGAGTATTGCAACCTGGCTGTCGATCGCCAGCGCCGGGCCTACGAACTTGTCCGTGAGTACAACGCGCTGAAGATTTCGCGAGTCGAACGCCGAAATTTATCCCTGCTGGACGCCATCCACAAGCTCCCTCAGTTTACCGTTGGCGGGTGGGCTTGGGTGTACAACACGGCTGCTACAATTCGACAGGGGGTGCAGAAGGACACGGACCAACAGGTGCTCAAGGCCAAATTCGCACTTTCCTGGACGGGGCCCTACAAAGTTCTAGAGGTGGGTCCCGCCTCTGCCGACGCCACTCCGGAAGGCCGCCCGCTTTTTCCGGCCCAGCAGCTCGTTGTCGCGTGTCTGTCTTTCGTTGCAAGCCCTGTCGCAATCCGTACGAGACGGACGACTTGCCGCAATCTCTGCCCGCCGAGCTTTCGCGTTATGTTCTGCACTCTTTCGGAGATAAATGTCCACCTTTCCACGTCACCGCGGATGATGTGTCGGTGCCTGTCGGGCGCCTCGAGGTCGACTGCATCTCGGGACATCAACTGGTGCGGGGCCGTAGCGGCGTTCTCGCTGTCCTGTACCAGACGCATTGGGTAGGCCTGACTACTCCTTCATGGGAACGGGAATCCGACCTTGATCTATTCCGTCGACACATCCTCTCGTACTGGTCCCGGGAGGCCTGCCAAAGCAAGCAGGGTAACCGTACATATCGAGTGGCTCGGACTCGCGCGGCACAGCGGGAGCTAGCCCGGAATCGTGGAGAACGCTATTTGCCTCCTGGGGCTGATCTTGTGCTTAATGCGACTTGGCTTCGCCGTTTCAGCACTTCGCCCCTCCCTGTTGGCGCGCGGCTGTGGTACAAGGCCCGTGATGGATTGTGGTGGACCGGACGTATTGGTGCTCATCAGGGCGGCTCGTACATCGTTCGATTTTTGGATGACCCGGGCCCAAGCGTTCTGCCTCTGCCTGCGCATCTCTACTCCACCGCCATGGACGCCGTCTGTGGATCATGGTGTTTAGAGAAACATCGTTCGCGCCCTCTGGGCGACAACCGTGGTCGCACTCCGCTCCTTGCTGACTCCTTACCGTCGGCTGTTCCCACCGTTTCTTCTTAGCGTCGTCGTTTTCATATACCAATCGGCCTATTTTGGTCTTTTGTGCCATCCTTCTCGCCGACGTTTTGCTTCTTTTTTTTTCTGTCGCCTTCCGTTTTGTTTTATTTTGTTTTGTTTCGTCTTTCTGTCTTGTCTCTTTTCTTTCCTTGGCTTATTTTGTTTTGAACGCTGGGGCAACGCCGCCTCAAGACACGCAGTGTCGAGTGATCCTTCTTCCTTGTTGCCTGCATTCATCTGAATCAGTGAACTGCCGCGACCTGGATGTCCGTTCTCTCTCGCCTTTGCTTCAATTTTGTTTTTGTTGTTGTTGGTCTTTGGTTCTCTCAACAAGCTCCCTCCGAAGTTTCGTCGGTGTTGTCTGCCTCTGAACACTTGGAAAAAGAGTTCCCCAAGTTTCGTCGGTGATGTTTGCCTCGGGACACTTGGGCACCGAGTTCCCCGCGTTTCCTGCTTCGCCTGCTGCCAACTAATGTTGTCTTATTATTGTATTTTTTTCAGTTCCATCGTGCCGCAGAAGTGTCGCACACGCCTAGTGCTTCGGGATTCCATCCCGTGGCGTCGCCTTCTCCCATGGATTTTCGTCGTCACCCACAATTCGTTCTGCTTCGTCTCCATCATCGCCACCTTCGGGCGACGCCTTCACCACAGTAGCGCCCCTGAGTCGTCGTCTTGTGGTGTGAATCACTAGGACTTTCTGCGTTTTGTGTCTTTGAATAATGCATGTCGCCAGCGAGCCATGGTGCAGTTCGTCGACCGCCTCTCTTGCATTGATTGCTTGTGCTTTGCATCCTTGGTCCTCAATAGGTCTTGCCCCTGCCGTCTCCTTATACGAGTTGGGTACCCTGGCACGCTGGCCATCGTTCTCCGTGCCTTTGCCTGTCGTTCTTTTCTCCTGCCCTTGGTTAACGTCCTAGATTGCGTTGAGTTTTCCCTTTGCGTCGCGTCCAGTATGCACGGCCGTATTCGTTCGGAAATTTGTTTGGGTTTTGAGTTTCGTCACCGTATTTTGGACTCGCTCGGGTAGTCACCCTCATTCCTCCAGCGGTGATTCGCGCGGGTGCACGTAAAAGAGTGGTGTGTGGCGTCTGGATATTGATTTTTTTTTCCCTGTCATCGTCTGTTCAGGATGATAGCGTGCTCTGCCGCAATATATATTCTTTGTAGCTTTGTCCCTTCAAGCGTTGTCATTGAGATGTCGATGTTCCGTCTCGTGACCGTTCGCATTCTTAATCTCAATGATGGTGTGGGGGATTGATTCGGGATAATTCTACAACTCACCTTCCCTTTGGATGTTTTGTGAAGAGTCATATCTTCGATTCATGATCATAA